CTCTCTCTCTCTCTCTCTCTCTCTCTCTCTCTCTCTCTCTCTCTCTCTCTCTCTCTCTCTCTCTCTCTCTCTCTCTCTCTCTCTCTTTGTGGCTCTCCCCCTACCCTCACCCATTTCGGCCATCTTTGCATCCTGTCCGTCCATCTCTTTTGCATTGGTCTCTTCATCCATCGCTACCTCCATCTTGGTGTTGGGTTTGCTATCCATCTTTTCATCTAGCTGTATTCAAGCGCTGTTTGCCTTTTGCCTTTTGTTTGGCTTTTATTTCTGGTTCTCAGGCAGAGTTAATGCATTTGGAGAGGACTCGTGCTCCTCGGCTGCACCACCGCATTATCAGTATCAGATGAGGCTTGGCCGCACCATTGCCTCATCACTATCAGATGAGGCTCAGCTGCACCACTGCGTTATCAGTTTCGGATGAGGCTTGGCCGCACCACTGCGTTATCAGTATCGGATGAGGCGATGATTACCCATCCACAGCTTCTGGACCCATTTGCAGCAAACCAGTCAACAAGTAAACCTGCGATGGATATTCCAAGTTGCCATTTCCATTAATTACTCAGGAGATGGCACGGTCAGCTGTCTGACAACACCAAGTTGAGCTGCAAAGGTCAGACTGAAATCCAAGCTAAGCCGAGGCCGGCAAAGTCAATCGAGCATACGTAGCCAATCGGTAAGCGGTGCACCGTCACCGCCACCGCCACCGACGTCATCAATCCTATGGCTGGGTTCGGCTCCAAGGTTTTGCTGACTACCGTCAGCATTTTGAGCTGTGTGGCGTTGTTCCTTGTCGTACTAAGCGTCTGCGCACACTTCAGGATTTCGCGAGTAGGGAGGTGGGGGATTGGGTATGGTCACCTCCCGATCGATGTAAATGCAGGAGTCAAAGTCAACGTCAACGGGGATGTTGACCCCTGCTGTGACGCTGACGTCGCTGCTGGCGATGCTGACAAAGAGGACAAAAAGGGGAGGCCTGGGTTCTCTATGGATGAGTTCCGTGCTGCCGCCGCTGCTGCCCGTGCAGCGGGGGTCGTACAACCGCCCTCCTCCCCTCGCCGGCGCGACCCTCCTCGCTGGCGAAACACCGCCCCACTCTTGTTCCCTTCCAGCGACAACCAGAGCAGCAGTGCGGGCGGGCAGAGTGGTCAAGTCGGTTGGCCGTTTGCCAACGTCCTAGACTTTGGCGCTGTAGGGGATGGTTTGACTGACGACGGTCAGGCGTTTAGAAGCGCGATTGGTGCAGCTTGCACTAGGCGTGGAGGGGCCGGCGGTACTCTGTATGTGCCGCTCGGCAAAACCTTCCTCGTTAAGGGCAGTCTTGTTGTGAAGGGTTGCGATAAGCTGACGGTGCACCTGGATGGTGTGTTGAGGGCGACGCCTTTCTGGGACGAGTGGCCAAGGACAGCCAGAGCTTTTCTTGATTTCACTGACCAAAGATTCCTGACAATCATAGGCAAGGGTACAATCGACGGAGAGGGGTGGATGTGGTGGGATCTTCACAGGAGGAAGATCGTTCATCACCGTCCTGCTCTCCTTTACATTGAGCAATCGGTGTTCGTAAACGTCATCGACGTCTCGTTACTCAATAGTCCTCAGCAGCACCTCACGGTGCACAACTGCACAGACGTCATTATCGATAACGTCAACATTTCTGCCCCTTCAACATCGCCGAACACGGACGGTATCCATATTTCGTGGTGCGCACGTGTGGCGGTCGAAAACGGCTATATATCCAACGGCGACGACTGCGTCTCCATCACCCGGATCGCTTACGACATCTTTGTGAAGAACATGGTTTTCGTTGGCGGCCATGGTGCCAGCATTGGCAGTCTCGGCTATAAAGGCGAAGAGGCGGCTGTGTTCCGCGTGAGTTTTGATGACATCATCGTCAACAACACGAAGAGAGGAGCGCGCGTCAAGTCGTGGCAAGGAGAAGACGGCTTCGCTTACGACATAGTCTTCAACAACTTCACCATGACCAATGTTCTTCTTCCCATCTGCATCAACCAGTTTTATTGCGAAAAGCGCCCCTGTGAGGAGCTAAACGACACGTCAACGGACATATCGTTAACCTCAATCACCTTCTCAAACATCCGAGGAACTGCAGTTGAAAGATGGCGAGGACTCGTCGGCCTTCTCGCATGTAGCGATCTTGTGCCTTGCCGGGACATCAGAATGGAGAACATAGAACTCGGTTTGCCTTCGAAGTATGAGAAGCTGGCCCATTTCCATTGCTTCAATGCCTTCGGCGAAAGTCGGAACGTCACTCCGCCTTCATGCCTAGCCATGGAGGAGGAAGAAGAAGAAGAAGAAGGAGAGGGAGGAACTGATGTTCTGCGGCAGGCTACAACTACGACTGGTGGTGCGACCAGTTTCACTGCCGACTGGAACAAACTGCGGCAAGTCGATGAAGATGGCGCTCGTGAACCGCAGCAGCACTTGGCATCCCAGATAAGAAGATTGTTTGGAGGAGGGAGAGACACATGGTTGCTGGATGAGGACTTGGCACTTCTAGAGCTTTTCGAGAGTTGTTGACTAATTGACAACAGTGGGGATTTTGTTTCTATTTCCCCTTCTTCCATCTCCTCCTCCTCCTCCTTCTCCTCCTCCTCCTCCTCCTGCTGCTGTTCTTCCTCCCTCCTTAACGTCCTTGTCCTTCTCCTTCTCCCTCCTCCTCTTTCAGCTCCTGTTCCTCCTCCTATTCCTCCTCGTTTTGTGTTGTTCTTACCACCCTCGTCACCATCTGCATTATGGTCACGGTTCTACTTCTCCCTTTCCACTTTTTTCTACTTCCTCTCCTCTTCTCCCCTTTCCTCCTCCTTCCTTCTTCCCCCCCCGTTGCTCTATGTTTCCTTCCTTCCCCCCCGGCTGCTGATTTCCTTCCCTCCCTCCTCCCCTCCCTCCTCCTCTCTCTTCTCCCCTCCCTCCTCCTCTCTCTTCTCCCCTCCCTGCTCCCCTCCCTCCCTTCCTCCAGTTTGGTTTCCCGTTCATCAACTGCTATGCGTCGTAGATGCTGTGATAGTGCCTGTTGTATGCCATGCCCAGTGTCTCTCCCTGGTCTCCCTCTGCCTCACCAACTACCATGTCTTTGTTGAAATCAGGACCGTTTCTCAGGGCATACTCACAATAGCACTTTCCAGAATGCATCTGACTGCAATTATGGCGAGCCCAGGATGAATCTGACTGCAATGACGTCCACAGCTTTGTGGAAAAAGTCCTTGTGTGTATGCCCTCAGTCTGCACATGCCGTGCTTTCACACAGGAGCCATCCTGCCATTCTCTGATGCAGAAATAAACTTTATTACAGTCAGCTATGGCGCAGAAACTTGTCAGAAGTTTGGCAGAAAATAAATTTAAATTAAGTCAGCCATGGATCCATGATTCAATCATCTTCCACGCAGTTTGAGATCGGTCGATCTGAGCCGTTCACGTCTTTTGGACAGTTCAGTCTTTCTAGATCCTGCTGGATATGCTCGGGGTCTGTATTTTTGGAAGCGCATACGGTCCGTATTCGCTTTCGAAGGAATCCCACTTCACTCTTTCTTGCTACCTGCTCCATGTCTCGCTCCTTGCTTGTCTGTCACTCTGTTAATAAGAGGTCCGGGGATCGAGCCCTGCCTAGATCCGTAGCGCTTCTTGCTTCCCGTTTACAGGGAACATCATGATGAGGTTCTCTGTACCAGAAAACCACTAAACTGCTGGCTAGACTTAGAACCGTATTAAAAAAAAAAAAAAAAAAAAAAGACTTAGACATTAGAACTGTATACCGGTACCGAGGTGGAAGACGCACAGACCATTTTCCGCGCTGTTGAAGCTCTTGGGAGGATCACGGAGTCGCAGACCATTTGCCAGGTTGCTCCCGGGAAGATGGATCCACAGCTCGACAAACTTCGCATTGTCTTCGGGCAAGATGGATCTGCCGTACTGCGCCCGATGGATCCGCCGTCCTTGCGCCGATGGTTCGGCCGTCCTCTCCGGCGGATGGATTGGCCGTTGGGTCCATGTGCCTCAGCCGATATACCCCCCATGAAAGAAGAGGTGCGGACTATTTTTTACTGTCATCCCTACACACGAGCATCCATGGGCCCTCCCGTGAGTTTGAGCTTTGAATTCATGGGAATTTGATTCACCGGAGTTTTGACTTGGAATGGCACGCCGATCCGATCCCCAGCACGGCCAGCTTCGCATTGTCCTCGGGCAGATCGATCAGCCGTCTTAAACTTTGCTTAACTACTTTTTATTAAGTTTTTAACTACTTTTTAAGTTTTTAGTAGTTTTTATTACTTGTAAGGATAACGACAAGTATTATTTGCAGCCATCTGTTTTTTTTTTTACACGTACGGTATTTAATATTTACGAGTGCTGAAACTCTGTGTGTAGCACTGTGTATAAACTGTATAGCCATAAAAACAGTGTTTCAAACACTGTTATCAGATTTCAGGGTATCTTATTTTGAGTTATTTTAACTTATTTACTTTTCAAAAAATATTTTGTTGTAGTTGTACTGAAAAGCTAGGAATATTGTCACGCGCCTTTTTTTCCGTTTTTTTTTTGCCCTCACTTTTTATTGTTTTAAAAATTAAGAAAAATATTCAAATTCACATGCAATTAGAGTCCTTCCAAAGTGTTATGGCAATCTGTCAGAGACTTGGAAGTACTCACGTTCTTTTTTTTTCTTTGAGAGAACGTTCTCAGATTCTGAAACACCACACTTTTCATATATTTTTTTCGCCGACAGGGCACTTTTAGTTTTTTTTCTTTCTTAAGTTTTTTTTAATGTTTCCGAATGCTCTCGAATATCAATCAATCTTCTAATCTACTGGGATGAAATAACAACTGTCAGATGGAGTCAGCTGGCCATTGTGCTCCTTTCACTCCTCAGCTGTCGTGGCAAGCTCGCCTCGCTGCGCCAATCACAGCAAATGCCCTCCTTTTCATCTTCCTTTTTCTCCAATGGCACCATCTCTATCTTTGCAGTGTCTCAACCACCAACCGTACGAAGCACGAAGTAGTTGCGGTCTTCTCTGTAAGATATTGCCTTCATTTGGTGATGACCACAAGCGCCGCAAAGTGCAAAGTGGTTGTCGCATTCTCACTCGTACCCTGAGAACCCCTCTTTC